AATTGTGGAAGAAGAAGAAGAAATAATAAACAGTCTCTGAGTAGTGTTCTGGTTTATTAGAAGTAAGGAGAGAAGTGACATTTGGACAAATGAACGAGCACACGTGTTATTTAGCACGAGAGCTGACAGCCTGTGGATTTTTATACCATGAAGCCAGACGGAGTCGGGACGGATAAACAGCTAACGGCAGAAATCACGGATGTGGATTTTTCCAGATGGAAGGCTATAATGTGGGACAGATGTTTTCAAAGCGGTGCTGAAGTTGTCTATTTCCTGTCCAGCAGAAAACAAACTTAAATTTGTCAGACTGTAGCGATGCAAATGAAAGCTGTTATTTGATAGCTTTAGCTAGAATCTGGCTATAATCACGGAGAGACGTGAGGTCTTTCCCCTGTCTATATGTAGTTGCTTTAATTTCATGTTTCCTACTTATTCTCCAGTCTGTGGGTTGGCTTTGCCGGTTAAGTTAGCGAGACAATCAACTCATCAGCAACGTTAATTGATAATAAAACCGTAACATTAACTTAGAGCATGGAAGCATCAGCCAGCTAAACTTTTACTGCCCTGGTAGAAAAATCATGTAAGGTTAGTAGGATTGGTTTATTCTTCAGCGCTGGCTTTGGCTTGTAGTGTAATATGTAGTTGGATTAGTTTCATGTAGTTACTCTCTCTCTTTTACTCGCTTTTTTACGTGGACAGATGAATGAATATTATTGGTAATGAAACGATAACGGCAGGGAAGCTCAGATCAGCAGCTAAACTTCACTTCTTACTGCCCTGGTGGAAAACATGTATTTCTTTTTACTGCTAATGGTGATATGTAACAAGACCGTGTGCCTATCAAGTGACCAATAATAAATACTTTCCGAATTTGCATTAAAAGGTGGGTTTTGGACATTGATTTGCCACTGCACACAAATGTGTAATTTGTACTTTCACAAGCTAAATGCCCATTAAAAACGTTGCACTTTTTACCACAAGCTGAAATTATGGCTGTCAGTACTACTTTGTGTTTCTGTTGTATTTTTTTAAAAATTATAAAGTAAGATTTTGGTAAGATTTGCAGATTGCTTATCTAATTAAGCAAAGTGAGAGGAGCCTTGATCCTCACCTGACAATGCCTTTGTAAACTTCATGTATTATGTGGTTTATAATGGACTGTGGTACAGAAACAGTGAGGCTTACAATGTCCTGTTATCTGTCAGTGGTCCTACTCGATGCACTAGATGTGATAAGTTTTTGAGATGTTGTCCAGATGAGCCAACCCTCCCAAGTTGTAAAATAATATATTACAGGAGTATGAGACATCATGTAGCACTGCATTTCTTGATGTGGCTGTAGTTTATTAATGAACAAGTAACAATAATATAATATTCAAAAAATATAGCCGCGAGCGGCAGTGATCGGGATCCAAGCCAGTCGCAAAAAATGCAACATATGAAATTTTCAGAGGAGAAGAACAGGCGCAGACGACTTCAGAGCTTAAAGTGATGAAAGAATTTGGACTCTGAGATAATTGGGGAAACGCATACTAGAGCGTCATTATATGTACCTGACTACTGGGTTGAAATGTTCAACCCACCTGCGACATTTTGTGTTTCCAAGATTTAAAGTTTAAGTTGCACAAACTCATAACTAGCAGAGAAAAATGAGAAGAAACTGCTAGGGATCCAAATAAAATAGAGACCTTAGACTCACTATGATCTGAACACCCCCATTGTCAGCACATCTGACTGGCTCACCTGGGGATTTGAAGCCTGGACCTGCAGATCTCCAGAGTAGGTGACTAACTGACTGAACTACTGGTGAGAGGCTGTTTCCACACACCTTCTCACAACTTGAGGTAGTGATGTCACATGCGCCAGACCCGGATAGTTTTGTCAGTTTAAACTTACAATGCTTACAACTGTCAAGATACTGGTGAGAAAATTCTGCAAAAAATCACATCATTCTGCCGGTTTTGGTTGTGTTATTATTATAGTAATTTGATCCAAAACTGAGTTAAAAAGAAAAAGTTGTGCATACTGTACAAGTTACAGCAAAATACTGAATATCACTGCAAACTCACCGTTTGACCGATCTGAAAACCCTTTGAAACACTTCGGCCGATATCGGCCATCTGGAGAACGACTCTGTCGAGTTTGGTAGCATTTGAAGAAAGACTTGTGGAGATATAGATGTTAGATGATACTCTGGGGCTGTTTTGCTGCTTCAGGACCTGGAAGACTTGCTGTGGTAAATGGAACCATGAATTCTGCTGTCTACCAAAAAGCCCTGAAGGAGAAAGTAATTTGTTCGTGACCTCAAGCTGCAGCGCACTTGGGTTCTGCAGCACGACAATGATCCAAAACACACCAGCAAGTCCACCTCTGAATGGCTTAAGAAAAACAAAATGAAGACTATGGAGTGGCCTAGTCAAAGTCCTGACCTGAATCCAACTGAGATGTTGTGGCATGACGTTAAAAAAGTGGTTAAGGCTCGAAAACCCTCCGATGTGGCTGAATTACAACAATTTGGCAAAGATGAGTGGGCCAAAATTCCTCCACAATACTGTCAAAGACTCATTGCCAGTTATCACAAACACTTGATTGCAGTTGTTGCTGCTAAGGTTGGCTCAACCAGTTATTAGGTTTAGGGGGCAATCACTTTTTCACACAGGGCCATGTAGGTTTGGATTTTTTCCCCCTTAATAATAAAAACCTTGTGTTAACTTTGTTTAACATTTCAATTTGTTGATGATGATCTGAAACATTTGTGTGATAAACGTGCAAAAAAATCAGAAATCAGGAAGGTGGCAAACACTTCTTCACACCACTGTATGTTGTAACATTGAAATGAAGGGCTGCCAACATAAATAGCATTGATTGCAATGTTAAAACACTGACCATGTTCAGCTTTAGAACTCCTCACCATAGACATCATTTGCTCATGTAGCCCTATTACTAAAATGTGCTCGTATTTGCCGTAGCAATCAAGTGCTTTGTGATTCATAGGCTGCATCAGTCATTCATCAGAAATACGGACAATTATTTTAGCAGATTGTTTCTTTCAAATAATTGATTTTACCACAGAAAGAAATGTAAAAGAGAGAGGATGCATGAGAAAGTACGAGGTGGTGGAGAAAAATATAGTTGAGGGGCAATCTAAGAGGAGAAAACTGGTTGAACAGATGTAGGGAGGGAGGAAGGAAGGAAAAGAGGACGATATATGGATAAGGCAGAGGCAGCAGAAGAAATAGTAGAGGAAAGGTTTGTTCACAGAAGACTATACTTGAATACATAGTACATATTATGTAACTTAATTTCAACCTGTGCTTGTACCCTGTGTGTGTGTGTGTGTGTGTGTGCACGTGTGCCATGACTCAGTGTTTGTGTACAGTGTGTCTGTTAGTGATTAGTACATTTGTGCATGGCATGGGCCTATTTGAAACGTGTGTGTGTGTGTGTGTGTGTGTGTTGTTTGTCCATCAGTTTCCTACAGTCAGCCTGTTTGTTTTCAGGTGTCAGATGTGGGGCTGTGTGGGCGCAGGTTGTGAGCTGCTGAAAAAGACACACTGGTTTCCAGGTAACAGGAGCAAGACGGTTTACCTTCTTCTATCTTTCTGCTTCCTTTTAGCCGAGAGGGAACAATTGTTTTTGCTGCTCTGGCCCCACCCCGCCTCATTGTAGATGTCACGCTCATTAGTTTTATTCATTTTCTTTTCTACAAAACACTGCAGAAAGTAGAAGATACACTGTGAAGAATAAACCTTCAACAATGCTGAACAGTTGTTCAACTTGCAAAGCAGCTTGTTTATAGTCTATTTTCCAGATTACATGGTCCAAAAAAAATTCTGATTACTGTGATGTTTAGATATCTACTTGGGAAGCAGCATGCTACACTATAACAGCCATGGCAAAAAAATCACAGAGCTGGGTCAGCACCAAAATGTAATTCACTCATCAAGAGGCCATGTGATCTTTTATCCACAAAATTGCAGTCACATTAGTTCACTACTTTTCAGCTTGATTACGAAAGAAAAAGTGGGAATATGTGACTTCTACAGACGTAAGAAAGAAAGACATTATAAAACATAATAAATTACATTTACATAAATCCCATAATGAGTCACAAAAACACAGGGAATTAACTTACATGACAGACCCCAAAAAATGAGTCAGTGTGCTCATGAGTGGGAGGGTTTGTTTGTTTTTTTATTTCTTCCAAGACTGGAAAAGCAAAAGAGTATGTGATGTCAGGGAAGGAATATATGTATTTGTAGAAGAGAAGTAAAGGAAAAGAACATCCTATGGAAAGACCTGATTACCGTTGGTGTGCTGTGAGTCACATGTGTCTAAACTCAACACACGCATATATGTAGCCTAAATTAGACTCCTGTCTACTAAAGTCAGCATTCTAATATTTTGCAATGGCAATGTTAACATGTAGTTTAGCTGGTAATGTCAACCATAGTTTAGCATGTTAGCATACTAACATACATTAACTGACACATGAGTTTCTGCACCGAATAACATGGCAATCCATTCAATAGCTGTCAAGACTGATCACCAAACCCACAAATGTCAACCTCATGGTGGCGCTACAGTAAGATTCCATGTGTGTCTGTAATAAATTTCCACCATGTAGATGCTGAGATATTTCACTGGATAACTTTGACCCGCTGGTGGCGCTACAGTAAGAGAAAGGCGATTACCAAAGAGATTTCCCCAAAAACCACAAATGTGAACCAAATTTCATTGCAATCTATTCAGTAGTTGAGACATTTCAGTCAAAACCACAAAGGTCAACCTTAAGGTGGAGGATCATTAAAGTCATTAGGGTTCATCCTCTGGGGACCATAAATGCCTGTTCAAAATTTCATGGCAATCAGATATTTTAGTCTGGCCCTAATAGGAGGGCTGAACATTGCCATTCATAGAGCCAAGCCACTGAGAGCTAATCAGTTAACAAAAACATTTCTGTTGTCTGATCGGCTGTGTCTCTTTCTTTCCTCTATCCAGATCGTCACCGACTTTGTCTTCCTGTGTCCGTCCCGGAGGTCAGCACGTGCTGGCACAGCAACTGGCAGCCAAGTGTGGATGTACGTGTTCGACCACGTGGCGTCAGACCATCGTGTGTGGTCAGGTCTGACTTTCTGCTACCAGCACGCCTGCCACGGCGCCGAGCTGCCCTTTCTCTTTGACTCTGCCTCGGTGGCCAACTTCACCCTGTCAATGCCAGAGAAGCTGCTGTCCAATCGGATGCTGTGCTACTGGGGAGCCTTCGCCCACACTGGTGACCCTTCCTCGCGGGTCCAGCAGACGACTTTCTGCCGAGAACAGCGTCTGCCTGTTTGGCCGCGCTATTCCGACACCAGCGGCTGGCTGGTCATGAACCTGACGGCACGTTCACATGCTCAGGTGGGGTCCAGGAACCATATATGTGACTTCTGGGACCAACTGGGTGTCTACTAATGAGGGGACAGGCTGGTGCTGGGTTGCTTTCCATCGAAGTAGCATCAATACATGCTGTTTTCTTTGTTCCTGAGAATGTAAACTCGTCACAAAATCTTGCAGCATTAGATAGAGGTGTTCATCACAAAATATATATTCATCAGTATTAAACATGAATTGCTACCAAGCAACAGTTATTTCATTAAATAGTCAAGTTTTAGATTTGTTTTATTTCTGTGACCATTTTCCAGCAACTAGAGATGTGTGAGTGTTCGGCCTAATAACAATTACGTTGACGTGTCGGCAGTGTGGAAGCATTTTAAAGTGTCCGAGAAAGACACAAAAATCACCGTTTGCAGACACTGAATTGTCTCCTAGCACATCCACGCCATCTGTGGCTGAACGGCTTTGAGTGTTTCTGTCACTCGTTTGTGAGAGGGCGATAAAGCTAGCCACACCTAAGTTTGGAGTGCACACGTATTCAAGCCTTTATGGTAAATCCACTGAAACGGACCAGAGCGAGCTGACAGGCAGGTTAGAGACGTAACATCTAGTAGGGATGAGGATCGTTAATTTTTATTGATATTGATATCCTTATTGAGACTGCTTAACGATCCAATTCTGTTTCGATACTTTACTATTATTTAGCGATGGTTATTTGGTAAGACCGGACCCAACCGGCATGAGGTAGGCCTGCACGGTATGAGGAAAATATTCAATGTGCCATAACATTATATATTGAGATGACATATCACTTGCGATAAATAAACATATTGAAGTGTGCATATTAAGTGCCTGGTTGTTTTTAATTTAATATTTTAAATACAGCTAAATGTTGTTTCTAGACATTTAGAACTCAATAATAAAGTTATTGAGTTACTTTGTTACTAGCAAAGTAACTCAATAACTTTATCTGACATCACAAGTAGTGAGTGAGGTTTATAAAGAATAACATCAGTCTGTATCAGTCCTTCCTCCTCTGTCGCTGGCTGCAGGTAACGTTACCTGGTAGAAGGAGGAGCGGCTGGTTTGTCTCAGCCAGCAGCTGAGTTTTTAAGACTACAGACCAGTCTGTGCTCCAGACAGACAGCTTTCTATCTAGCTTGTTTTTAACATTTGGCTAATGCCAAGGTAGGGTTAGCTGTGTTTGTATAAAACATACAGGATGAGAAACTGAGGACAGAGATGATTAAATTAACCATTTCTACATGTTTAACGTTACCTTACAGACAGGTGTATTGTCTTTTTACTTGCGAAGGTTTTATTGCACGTACTTACAGTAAGAGCGTAGCTGTCATCAACTAAAGTTACAGTAGTTTGGAGCTAACTTAACCCTCACCGTATTCCACCGCGACGGCGCCGCCTCTCGCTCTGCTGCCGTGTGTGTGTGTGTGTGTGTGTGTGTGTGTGTGTGTGTGTGTGTGTGGGAGCCAACAGAGAGCAGGCAGAGACTGCAGCCTGATGATTTTCTTATCCATTGCGTTTCAAATTAAATCAGATTTGACACTTGAGACATAACATTACATCATAGGACCCGCAAGTCTCGATAGCAGTATCGATAACCTCGAACCTTATAGAGTTCAGGTTTTGAGAAATTTAGGAATCGGGTCCTTTTGGAACCGGGTCTCTATCCTCATCCCTAAAGTCTAGTGTCCATTAAAAGTAAATGGACTCAGTCAGTTTTTCCCGCAGAAGATATGGTGGGTGGGTCTGGGACCCATGAAGGTCCGGTAAAGTAACTTACATATTTAATTTATGCAATGATTTTAAAAAAGGCAAAATAAATGGAAAAAATGTGAAAGTACTTGTTTGGAATTCGGCAAATGTTATAATTATATTTGGTTTAGTCTTCTGCCAAGAATTTTCATTTCAGTGCATCCCTACCAGCAACATATATTTGGAAGTCAAAAGCTGACAGTGGACATCGGTTTTCAAAAGAAAAAATGCAAGTGAACACAGAAAGACACGTTTGCTCTATCTGTGCTTAATCCTGATCGATATGTCAGATAAACACACATGCAGTCGTTCGTGTTTACGGTGAATCAACATGAAGTCCAAAGCTCTCCAGGCTAGCTTGAAAAGGTGGTGGGACTATAGCTATCTAGTGGAATAACTGATAAAAAAAAGTCAAATTAACTAAAAATAAGTAAGTGGAAAGCTTATCACCCTGTTTCCTGTTTCCAACTACACTTGTCAAATGTAATAGTAAAATCAAACCGTGTGGAAACAGCTAATGTACTGTGAAGTATGTTTGTAATTTAAGTACTACAACTACTAATACTACTAATATCAGCTGTACTTTGTGATAAAATGTATTTTATAAAAGCAGGTTCCAGTCTTTTAATTGTCTGTATAATAAATAAAAGATTTCAAATGATACAAAAATGTTTTTTTGGTTTTCTTTTTCATTTTACCTGTTTACGTCCTACATGAAATTTACTTCTATTGTTATTTTGTTAATTTGCTCATGTTATGAGATGGGTTTGATTAAAACCCTTCAGCTATCATCAGTGCACAAAATAATCACTTTTATTGGTACTTTTATGAGAATGTATATGGGCTTGCACAAAATCACTCACCCATAAGTTCCATGCCACAGTCAGTAACAGTCCATGAATTTAAATTTGTCCCTTTTTGTAATTTGCTACTACTCGATTGTGGTTGATCAATCATGAAACCCAACAGTCAGTATTTTCCTGTTAGCAAACTGTGTTGTTATGGATCTTAAAGGGAGGACTTTTTTGAGCATCATAACCCCCCACATGACTTGTTTCACTATCAGAATTTGATCAATTTGGTCCGACAACATTTGGAAAGTCTAGAATAATCGCACAAAAAACCATCCCATTCCTGTTAGCAGAGGATATAATAATATAGTATAATTTTAATATATTTACAGGTCACACTTTATTTGGATAGCCTGCCTGCCTGTCTTGTTGCCCTGGTTTAAGCAGTGTTTTAGCAACTTTCAGCTCTTTTTTTCATTTCTTAGCTGACAACTTTACTGTTTTGGTATACTGTCACTGCTCTCTATCTTCAGTCCTTTTCTTTAACAGCAGGCAGCTTTTATCAGCGACCTACAAATGCTATATGTCAAAAGTCTCACGCCTCTGGAGCAACTAGGGGTTAAGTCTTATTAATACACAATGGGACACAATGGTGGATGTCTCGCAGTGGGAATTCAACCCAGGTCTCCCACACCAAAGGCAGTTTCAGTTAAAGTGTTTTCTGATTTTATCTGACCTGCCAGCCCTTATTTTGTTTTAATTTCATTTTAATTTGTGCATTTAATGGTATATTTTATTGTTGTTAGTGATACAAGCTCTACACATAAAGTTTATGTTGTTATTAAAGAGTGACACGTGAAAGCCTCAAGCAGGTGAACAAAGTGGAACATTTAGCAGTCAGATACTTTTCTCAGGAGTTGGGAGACCAAACAGTGCTAATAGAATAGTGAATATTGGACTAACATTGACAAGGAGGCCAGAAATACGACTCCAAATGAATGCTAATGTCCCTCTATATCAGGCAACTGTTTGCTAATGTGTTCGCCTCAACAACTTGACAAAGGTGATTAGATATCTGTGTTGTCTTTATGAATGAAAAAGCAGTGGGAGTAATGAAAACATTGAGAATAATGGAAAAAATCAAACAGTGTTCCTCCTCTATGTGTGTCTCGGTTTCTCTCTCTTGGTAGCAACCACTTATCATTTATAAAAGCCACACATTGTATTGATTCATCAGTTGGAGGCTCAGTTTATTATGGTTGGCTAGAAATCTGAAATCTTCCCTCCAGGCAGCTAACATGATATAGATATAAAGAATCTGATTTAATGTGTCCATTTAATAAAACTGTAATAGAAGGTCCAGGGTTAAACTGTACAATACACCATCTTCAAAGGCCTATTCATACTGTTACCTTCCAGCAATATGAAGAAAGAAAGGAAAAACTAAATAAAATGATGTAACATGGAAATATTCTCCCCCAGTAGGTATTAACCCCAAGAAAGGAGAGGGCAAGTATTCTGAGTGCAAATGTAGTTGGTCTTTTATAATCAAAAATCTATCTCTGCAGCCGTAATTAATGCAGTACATTCAGCCTTTATCTCCGTGGCATTGAATAAAGAAACAGGTATTTTCCTGTTGTGTAAGGAGGAGGAATATGAATATTTGTTAGAGCAGGCCCTTTTGGAGTACTCAAGCTAAATAAGTGTTGTCCATTTAGTGTAGCCCAAGGATAAAGCATAGCTAGACCTTTCAATGCGGAAGAAAAGCAGCCGCACTGCTTTTCTTCACATCTCATCTTGAAGTGTTTCTAATCATGAAAAGGACACGTAGATGTCTATTTGTCTATTTTGTCTTAGAGACCATCATGTTCAGTTTTTGGATATCTCCCGCTGAGTCATGCTGCTTTGTTTCCCTTGGATTTTCTGTAGTTTTGAGTTTTGGTAGGTGCCGTGCTGTTCATTCCAACTTCCCAGTTTGTTTGTTTATTACAAAGGAACCACATCCCTTCCTGTGCGAGAGAAGTTTTTTCCAACTGAACGCAAACAGAAAAGCTTTTATGCGGTTGACATTTGTGGTTTTGAGTGAAATTGTCACAGTTCATCCGTGACTCCTGTTGAGTGTTGATGTTTTTTTCTGAAGGCTCTTCTCATGTCTCTATTTTGTGCCACCTCGTCTACTCGATCCTCCGTCCTCCTGACTGTGACCTGGAAATCGATCTCAGCGTGCCATTTTGAAGGACATCTCAATTCTTAAAATGTACTGCTTACCAGAGGAGCTATAATCAAAAATATATGTGTCCTGTTGTTTCCCCTTTTCCCGGTGTTGTGTGTTTATGTGTGTGTATGGGTGTGGTCCTCATCTCCCGCCACCTGGTTCATTTCCACCTGCTGGGAATCCCCTCATTAAGCTTCCTGCTGAAATGCCCCTGGTCAGCTCCAGATTGTTTCCTTCTCTGTGGTAACGCAACTCTAGGCCAAAGTAGTTTTCAAGTTTCTCTTGTGCTTTTTGTCTTTTGGATTTTGCTAACCTGTTTTTTCTCTGTGCTACAGTGTGTCCCACGCCACCAGCCACACTTCTCTACCGCTACTCAAGCCACCATGCCTCCGCCACACTCTCCACTGCCTGCCTACCCACTGGCATCATCAGCCTCAGTTCCCCAATCCATCAGCATTATCTTTTATCATTAAAATACCTTTTATCAACTTCCACC